TCTGTTTCATAGGCATTACTTAAAAGTTGACGGATGACAAAGTAGAGATAATTTATGGACAACAACTTCTTTATTTACTGTAAAAGGCTGCGTTTCAGTATAGATCCTTATGTCGTTGTCAAGCAATATGATGAGTCTTGGCAGCCACAAGAAGTGCAATTTACGTCATGACCTACCAAGTCCACGTTCTAAAACATGTTCCTGTAATTGAACAACCTGGACGAAAAATGGTGTTCGTATGGGAAAATGAAATTGATGGCGGTTCCTGAAATTTTAAATATTGTGAGACAGTTACGAACTGTAAAGAAAATTGTATGAGAAAAATATGGCTAATATGGTTAGATGTAATGATGAAGATAATTCTTAGAAATTTGGAAGCATTTGGGATTCATGTATGTTATCTTGAAGCATACGTTTTATTCTATTCGCCAGAGCTTTTGCAAAGATCCTATAAAGAAAGTGGACTTCAGATGACATAAAGATTAAGACATGCTCGGTCATGTTAAGGTGCATCGAAATCTAAGTAGTGTGAAGCTAATTATTGTTTTAAAAGTAACTTCAGTTTGAATGTCGAATACTTTTTGGTGTCTCTTCGAAAATGAAGTGATGAACCAACGAAGGGTGAGAGGAGCTATGTTTATGTTGATGTGTGTAGATTTGTGTCTGAATGTTGATCTTACCTAAAGTGACAGGTGCCACATTGAATGCCACTCATTGCAAATTGGGTTAACTGAGCTAGCATTACCATCTGGTTCTGATACTGTCTCAGGCGTCGATCTTACCTAAAGTCACAACTCATTGCAAATGTATCCAATTACTTTTGGGTGAGATAAAAGCCTACACGATTAAAGGTTATCAGTAAAATGTATCGTCGAACACAAGCAATGATGAGTTCATGTTTATGACTTCATATAATGATCATGGAGACACATATCCGACCTTCCTTTTATCATGAATTTTATTTTATATTTTATATGTTATACGCATTGTCAAATACATAATGTTGTCAAATAAACTAAAATTTCACCAGTGTGTCTGGATAAAAAACGGTGCATTAATTGTGTAATGATATAAGGCCCATGATATGAGAGACATAAAACTACTTATTAGCAGGTCGAAGCCTACAGTTTCACACTGACAGAAAGCATATGATGTCAACAGTATCACATATTAACAGGTCGACGCCTATAGTTTCACATTGACAGAAAACATATGATGTCAACAGTTTCACATGGCCTTTTGTATGCCTGTCTGAATGTCCCGACAAAACCCGTATGCATCCATCGTCTGCAATCCGACTTCCCAATGTTTGGAGACGGGATTTGGAAAAGCCGTCTTTATACATGTACAAGGTAAGTTTCTCTCCCAAAACGAATTGCATGTTACCTTTGACCATGATATTTTTCTAATAAACTATTGTGGTCATTCCAATTCATGAGTGTGCAAGGTGGCTGAAACGTCCTGAGCCTAACTATATATGATGGATTGCGTTGAGGAAGTTGGTTGCTGATACGTTTTCAGCATAATCCCGACTGAGGTCCACACACGTCTGATACGATGTTGGAGTTCCTGGATCCCACTGGGCGTAGACGGTTTTCTCCTATTTTCTTAAAATGTCTTCCAGAGCAGAAATGACCACATCATTATTTTTTTTATAATGCTTGCCATGTAGTTCTTTCCTAGTGTTTAGGAACAGGTGTAAATCTGATGGTGCTAAATCTGTCGAATACGGCGGATGTTCAATGAGTTCAAAGCCAGTGTCATGCATTGCAGCCTTGATATTCTAACGCAGCATAATATTGGCCATTAACGGTCTGATCTTTTGGAAGGTAGTCCACGACCCGTGAAGATCCGGGGTAGAATAGGTCCTCAGTAACCCATGCTTGCCGTAAAAGGCGACTATGCTTGTCGTAAAAGGCGACTAACGGGATCGGGTGGTCAGGCTCGCTGACTTGGTTGATGCATGTCATCGATCCCAATTGCGTGGATGGATGCTCATGATATTAATCACTGGATTGTCTGGTCCAGACTCGATTATTTACAGACCGCCGTCATATAGCTGGAATATTGCTGAGTGCGGCGTTAAACAACAAACCAACAACAACAACAATCAACAAGGTAGTCCACAAGTTGGATTCCTTTTGGACCCCAGAAAACCGATGAAATCATCTTGCCAGTTGATGGAACAGAATTATATATACGCAAAGAAATCAAATAAGCACCCCAGGAATTAATTGATACTGAAATATTCCCATTCGTAACTGCTTATTTCGTGATGAAAATGTCAAGAAGGGTGTTCCGTTGAAATGTTAGAAAAGTACAATGGCAACTGTGACGTCACATCGCAGCACGACATGCACGTGCAGTATGTCACCCATGCATTTCTCAAAATGCAGTATATCTGTACACTTGCAATTTTGGGTATTCAACTGTTTTGCATGGTTGAAACATTACCTGTGATTGTGGCACAAAGAAGGTTATTAGAGAAGCAAAGATGGCGTATTGCTGGTATGCACTCCACAGGCATGACCCACAAATGCATAGGTACCATTATACCGTAATTAGCAAACTGGTACGAAACATAGTCAAACCAATAGACCTCGCATGACGTCAATGCCCTTTTTCGGCTTGTACACCATCAACCATTTGCAACAGCCCCTGTTCTGAAGCGCCAATGTCACCCAAATGATGGATGTCAACCAGAACAGTGAGGAATCGACGGGGATGAAGTCGAGAAGGGTAATCAAGCGTCCCTTCCTTGTCTATCATCATCGGGGAATTCGTTTAGCATCGTGTTTGGCCCGGAGCGCTTGGAATCTAAAGACTTGGCGAAGAGTCCATTGGTCCGATGAAAACAGGTTCTTGCTCCATGTCAGGGATGGCCGATTGATGTTTTGGAGGCATACACATATGGCCTACACACCCAGGAACATATGACCTACGACCCCGTATGGTGGAGGTTCGGTTTGGGGTGGCCTGTCACACGATTGTAAACTGGATTTTGTCTCCATCCGAGGCAACCTCATTGGTGATCGTACATTCTTAACGTCCTGCATCCAGGTGTTGTGCCGCATTTCGACAAGACCCCACTCGCCGCCCGACCTGTGTATATGGATGACAATGGTAGGTCACATCGTTCCTAAGCAGTAACAGCTTTTCTCCTGAATGACTTTCTCCTGAGTCCTGACCTGAACTCACTGGAGTATATTTGGGACATATTGGGGCGTCGAGTACAGGCAATGAACCCGTTGGTACAGACTCTGGCCCAACTGGAGGCAGCTCTTTATCGGGAATGGCTGCAGTTGTCCTTTCAGCAGATCAGACGATTTACATGTACTGGAGGGGTGAGACGAAGGCTTGAATCTGTCATCCGGGCACGTGGCGGATGCCGTGGATGATGTCCCGGACTCGACACTTCCATACTTTTTGTGGCCGCTGGTTTATGCAAAATACAGTACCTCTGAGTTTTTGTTATAGAATCATGATTAAAATCTCAAAACAGAACAAACTTTTTATTATGTTTTCTTAATGTCAGAGGTGTCTTTTTGCAAACCACATTCGTTTTTCCGAGTTTATGTTATCAGGGTTTCGATGACAACGCTCGTACGACCAGTCATTGTAAAAAAAAAAAACAAGGGGTGCTTATACGTCTTTGCGTATATTTCTATGAGAAAGTTTTCTGAGTTAACAAAAAGGGCGAGAACCTTACGATAAAGGGAGATAATTTGTCGGGAGGTAACTCTTGTAATTGCCACTGGTGGCGCTACGATCGAGCCCAGAAATTCCAGCCTTGTTCGGCAAGGGTGAAAACTGGACTTTTATAGACAGATAACACCTTTGGCTCGGGAAGATGGGATATAGTAGGATAAGGTATGGTTAAAACAACTGCTCCTTTCAGACTTCCACTTAGCATACTAGCAGTCTTGTTAAACCTGGAACACAAGTGATGTCTCAGGACAGTAGGATAACATCTTCCCGAGGCAAGGGAGTTAACTGACTTTAAAAGTCCAGTTTCATCCCTTGCCGAACTAGGCTGGAATTCCTGGGCTCTATCGTAGCGCCACCAGTGGCTATTACGAGTTAGGTCCCTTCTGAGCCTCTCCTTTAGACCAATCAGATTCGACCTCTCGTATCACTTGCATTTGCTTGAAACAAAACAGTGGCACCCAGTCAAGACGATCTGATCGATAATCAAGGTCTATGTTTTGATAAAACGGGTCTTACATCGCGCAATGCGTGAGCACCTTGATTAAAAACATGAAAAGACTTGGAAAATATCTGTTGACAACGAGTTGGCGGTGCACATGCTTTGCAAATCCTGCAATCGACCGAAATCTGCAGGACAGTTTGCGAACCGGATTTCGATTTCGATGCACGATTTTGATTGGACTATGCATAGACTCGTTAGTCCAGCCAAAATGTAACTCCATAATACCAGCCTAGTTCGGCAAGGGTGGAAACTGGACTTTTATAATCAGTTAACTCCCTTGCCTTGGGAAGATGGTAGGATAAGGGATGGATGGAAATAACTGGATGGCATGAAAGGAGGATTAAAGTGTTAAGGGCTTAAGTAAGTATTGTCTGACATGGAAATTTATGATCTTATTTAGGTAAGAACACATAGGAATGCAATATCAATGAAATGACAATAAATTTTTGGTCATGTATCAGACTTCCCTAAGTCAGTAACATGAACATGAACATTTCAAAGTGACAAGACAGCAGGTTACGGCCCATAGTGTGGAAATATTGGGCACTTGACCACTTAGACTCACAAAAGCACAGCATGTTCAACCGTGCCAGAATCAAGCACAAAAATATAAACATGACAAAATATAAACATGAATAGATTCCCCAAAATTCACCAGTCATCTCTTTAATCGCCATAAGATAGCTTAAGCAGCCCACCAAACAATTCACAGATGAACTATTTTTTATTTGACTTTCTCCCATTGTTGTGATGGAAAATAATAACGAAGACAAAAATGACAAAGGCAAACTGTAGTAGACCAAAGTTTATTGAAATGAAAACGTATAGCAAATTTATCAACAGGTACAAATCAGATGCTGTCGGATATCAAAATCAACATATGAAGGTACCTTGACTGGATAGATGTACATGAAGTTGGTGAGTAGGATTTTCACTGAAGCAATATTATGGAGGGGACACCAAGGCTTCAATTGGCTTCAATCATGTACCAATGGGGTATAAAATCCATACAATCCCATACCAGTACTTAGCATACTGGACAGTGGCTGTTATGTAAGTCATTGGTTCAACATGACCTTCTACAGACAGATATCATCACCACCCATCTGAGAACATACAAAAGTATCTGCTCCCTGGTCAACACAAACATTTACCAAACTTGTCTGGTACTGTCACGTCAATGCTTAGATCAAAGAGCTGTCACAATGCTGAGGACTTTTACTGATTTTTTAGATTATTACAAAGATTTGATTTTCGATACTTCACCACCAGTAATGGTGCAATGGTTGCAACATGTACCTTTCATTCTGGAAACTATGACTTTGCCATGTTGATATCTCATGACAATTGTGAAGAACTTCCACAATAATGCATTTCATTAACAGTATATCACTGCATCCTGTAAATAACCAACAAAACCAGTGGTTGATAGAAAGGGCAAGCTTACAATCCATCAGGATAAGATCACACACAATGAACACTGTGACAACCTGATTTAACAGACTCTTATAGCAAGAGAGTTACTGTAGACTATTTTCTGCCCCAGAATGCACATGTGTAGACAAGCATGGAGTACTTGACACCTATTGTGCACCTTGCATGGCAATGTTTATCAAACCAGTTGACATCCTTATTAACATAAGAAACATATCCTGAACATACCCCGTATCTTTTGTAACTACATTGTATTTACATAATGAAAAAGAGATGATGTTGATATTACATGCATCTTATCATTGCTAATATACATTAAAAATAATTAGCAAAATGGATTTGTGTTGTCAGCGCATAGAGAATAAAAATAATTACTGTCATCAATTTACACTTTTTACTGACCATGCTGACAATGACATGAAATTAATTTCATGATTATTTCCACATTTCACATACATTTATAGGGAAATAAACAGTCAGCATGTGATATCTATTGAAAATGTGCATCAAACCCTCAGTTATATGTGAGGTAATTTTCAGTGATGACCAATATAATCAAAACAGAGAAGCAAAAAGAAAATGTATAGAAATGTCCAGTACAAATTGTCTTGTACCTCTGTACAATGTGATTTGTGATGGAGCAAACTGTTTTCCTTCTCAGTTGCTCTCATTGCCACTGCCAGACTTGTTCCCTCGGGACTCATTCCCAGATTCTCCCCCGGACTTGACACTCCTTTCATCACCGCTCCCTCTTCTTGAACCCTTCTCTGATCCTGAGCCAGACCTAGAGCCAGACCTTGATCTTGATCTCGAACGTGACCTTGAGCCTGATCTAGATCTGGATCCAGATCGTGACCTAGATCCTGATTTTGAGCGTGATCGTGACCTTGAACCAGATCTTGATCTAGATCTCGACCCAGATCTCGATCTAGATCTCGACCCAGATCGTGACCTAGACCCTGATCTTGACCTAGATCCTGATCGCGATCTGGATCCAGACCGTGATCTTGACCCAGACTTAGAGCGAGAACGTGACCTTGATCGTGAACCAGAGCCTGACCTGGAACCCGAACGTGACCGTGATCGTGACCTTGATCCAGAACCTGACCTTGACCTAGAGCCAGATCTTGATCTGGACCTGGACCTGGACCTATCGGATCCAGATCCTGACTTGCGTCCTCCACCACTGTCACTGTCAGAAAGAATGCGTCTTCTCTTTCCACCACCACCACCACTACCACTGCCACTGTCAAAGGGAAAAGAAAATTATCCCAAGATGTTGCAGACAAATTTCATATTTCTCTTAAAGAATAGTACACATCATGATGTTTTTTCTTCTTCACAATGACACAATGCAAACAATATCATTCTAGAGGTACAGGTATTTATCATCCTCGTTCCCTAGCATTATACAAAAGTCAATATTTACCCTGTTTACCCCAGCCTGTTGATTTTGTGACAGAAAAAAGAAATGTAGCATGGTGTATGTATTGTATTTGCTGATCGTTTCATCAGATATACCAGTGTTTCTGGTTTTACACCATATATACTGATGTAAGTTTTCTTGCTTGAGTAAATGATTCAGTTGTATACCCCTTTCAACAGTTTGTCAGTTCTATATGTGTTGTGTGAGCTTACTGTATGGTGTAGGTCATAAATGTTTACCATGGTTACATGCTGTCCTTGTTTAAAAACTCTTTTAAAGATCTAGATATTGGTTAGTCTTCACACTGGTAAAGATGTACATTTTGGTTTATCATATGAAGTCTTATTGACTGTCAACTCATCAAAACAAAAAGTGAGCTTTAGTTTTCAACTGATCTATCAAACTTACCCATTACACTCAAATTGTGTATTATGACACATATCATATCGAGGCATATATCGCATAGTGACGTTAAAGCATCGTTTCAGCCCTAATATTAAGACAACTAACCTGTCATCGATCTGGAGTTTCTTGCCCCCATCAGAATCAGAGCCTTCACTTGAGGAGATTATGGCCTTTGAGACAATCTTCCTCCTCTGTTTGGCTGTCAACCCATCTTCATCTTCATCCACCCTCTTCTTCTTGTCCTTCCTCTTGGACTCCTTGGGATCTCTTTGCTTCCTCTTCCTTGGCTTGCGTTCCTTCTTGCCTCCCTCATCACCAGAATCATCAGTGTCTCTGTTGTGTTTGGATCTGAAATTAATGGCATGTTGACATTTAAGATGACTTTTACAACATGTATCAGCTATACCACTGATCTGGCAATATCAGTTATGAGATGTTAGCTATAACCATGTGGCTCTTGCAACAAGTATGATGTATAAGATATACCACTATGTCTGGCTCTTACAACAAGCATGTGATATCAGCAGAACTCATGTGGCTCTTGCAACAAGCATGATGTATTAGATATACCTCTGTGTCTGGCTCTTACAACAAACATGAGGTATCAGCCATACCACTATGTCTGGCTCTTACAACAAGCATGTGATATCAACTGAACTCATGTGGCTCTTGCAACAAGCATGATGTATTAGATATACCTCTGTGTCTGGCTCTTACAACAAACATGAGGTATCAGCCATACCACTATGTCTGGCTCTTACAACAAGCATGTGATATCAACTGAACTCATGTGGCTCTTGCAACAAGCATGAAGTAATAGATATATCTCTGTGTCTGGCCCTTGCAACAATCATTGGGTGTCAGCTGTACCTCTTTGTTTGGCTCTTACAACAAGCATGAGGTACCAGCTGTGTTGGATGGACTAAGCTGTGTTTACAATATCAGCATCAATTAATGTCAGTGACATTTGGTGCATTGCCATGCGTAATCATAGATTGTTTATTTGTTTGTTTGTTGTTTAACGCCGCACTGAGCAGTATTCCAGCTATATGACGGCAGTCTGTAAATAATCGAGTCTCAACCAGACAATCCAGTGACTGATGTAATTTGGATACGATGACATGCATCAGCGAGTTAGGCCACACGATCCCATTAGTCGCCTCTTACGGCAAGCATGGGTTGCTGAAGACCTATTCCACCTCGGATCTTCACAAGTAGAGCCAATTAAATCACCATTCAAATACCATCCTAAACATCCTGAACATATTGATCCCATTTTGTCCTTTTTTAGAATAGAACAGGATGGTGATCTGGACAATGAACAAAAGTTCTTCCTCACCTTCTCTTGTTCTTCTTCTTCCTCCTATTCTCCTGGTCCTCTTCTCCCTCCGAGCCACTGCTAGCATGTCGCTTCTTCTTCTTCTTGCGGGGCATTTCATCCTCACTTCCATCCGAGATGATGTCTCCATCATAATTCCTCTTTGATTTCTACAGAGCATAGATGAGATTTTATAACTTGGAAAATTTGAACATTAGCTGGGGACTGTAATGAAGAATATAATGGGTGAGGTCATCAAAATATGATTTAGTCGTAAGACCAATCCTAACGGCTCACCTATTCCCCTATAATAATGACCAGTCCCTAACAAGGACTCAATTAAGGCACTTAGTTACAGCCTGGTAGTATCATTTAACCCTGTCAGGAAGGATTTATCAGGTTTAACATACAGTTTTAGAAATAAAAGCAATTCCTGAGGTCCTTGAGGATTCTTGCCATAGTACTTAAAGTTAGGTACACATTAATTTTTTTATTTTTAACAACTAATGTTAAACAAGATCCCTTGATTGTCATAATTAATTTCGACAACTACTACAATTAATGAGTTATTTACCTCCATACTCTAGCTACCATACTGTATCATGGACATGGTGAAGACATCAAGAGTTACCTACCCTGCCTCCGCTTTTCTTTGGTTTTTCTTCCATCTCTGGTTCTTTAGCAATCTTCTTTGCCTTCTCCACAAACACAGCTCTCTGTTCAAACAGGCGACGCTCCACCTCCTCACGCATCCGCTGCTTCTCATCCTGGAAACATACCACAAGGCAGCTAAGTCACAATGTAACATTATTAGAGATCTACCAATCAGAAACAATTATCCTAAATTATTTTCTCGAAATATAGTAACAAACTATGTAATGTACATGATGTAGTTTATCTGACTCGTTTCATGTTTTTCGCATTTACAAATTCAGAATACAGAAAACCTTGTTACTCTGGACAACCCCCAGTGAACATATCCAGGTTCACAAACTTCTGGATTAAAAATTAGGGTACTGAGTAATATGCTCTTATTTCTATATCAGTGTTCCTAACTACATCAACAGGGATGGTTCCTCTTATGATGTCTTTCCTAACAGGGTAACATAGTCCCAAAAAGAAGCATAATAATATCTGCATGCTTCATAACCCAACCACAGTGTGGCTGGCCTGAAAGCAGTTGTTGACATACCTCCTCCTGCCTCTGTCGGAGTCTAAGGGCCTCTCGGTCTTCCTCCTGCTTTTTCCTCAAGTCTCTCTCTTCCTCATCAATCTTCCTCGCCCGGGCCACATGGTACTGAGCCTGACTCAGCAGATCAGAGCATTGTCTGGAAGTATCACACACAAACTTTAGCCTTTGCAGGATTTTTGATGCCTCCAACTTAATACATAAAGATTGACTGGGGTTCTACTGCAAAGCCACTATTGCCAGTTCTATCTCAGCAATCTGCTAAGAATGAGCGAGTTCTTTTTAGCTACAGTAAACATTATTCCAGCCTAAAAATAAGGCAACCTAAAAATATTTGAATCTAGGACAGGCAAATCATTGGTAGATAGCATGAGCAACAATGTATGTCTTTAGGGTACGATGACACACATCACACATTGTGAACACCAGATTCCCATTTAACATGGGATGCTTCGGATGTAGTCTGACCTTTATTCCTCTATGGGTCAAATGTTATCCACACATCAGCAGGGTTCATGACACATCTTCCAAAAGATGGTCTTAAGGAGCCGGCATTAGACACAAAAATGTCTCTCTTTTTTTTCATCTCAATAGCCTTATCCATCAGCATGTCCATTCATTGCCCAGACTCACCATCATCTAAGAATGTTTCTTTCAGGTAGGGTTGATAAATCTAACAACCAGTTACCTGTCTGACATATATACTGCTCAGGAAAAAGGTATTATCAATGAAAATATTTCTGTCCTGACAAGTAATGAACAGTATGTCTTGCAGAACAACCCCAAAAATTTGAATTGAATGTTAAAGCAGCCATTTTGGCATGTTTGTATTATATTGTTTAAAGCCAAACTCCAATATTCCAGTGATATGACAGCATATTATGTGGACATTTAAACCAGTGATTGATATTAGGAGCAACAATCAACACCGTCAGGGTACGATGAAAAAAAAAAATCAACCAAGTCACAGAGCCTTACAACCCATTCCATCTAGTCGCCTTGTATGACAAGCATAGATTGCTGGGGACCTATACTATTCAGGAATACCCATGGGGTCCTTTAGGCCTGATCACACGTTCTGTCTCAGGTAAACGTGGGTTGCTAGTTCACCAGGGATGTAAGACCCATGTAACCATCTTGACTCACCTGGCCTCAGCAGCAGCCTGGTTCAAATCGAACTTCATCCTGTCTCCGAACTGACCAAGGTAGCTGAAATATCTGCAAGCAAAAGCATTTCATGTGAAGAGATTGAGTCACTTTGATGTTAAGTACAAACACACGGCATTAACCAAGTCACCAAGCCTTCCCACCTGTTCTACCCAGTCACCACTGAAAACAAGTACCGTATTCGACGTAATAAGCGCCCCGATCTCATAAGCGCCCACGGCGATATTTGCTAATATATTGGCATAGATAAAGGAGACAACTCTTTATAAAAAATATTGCTGCTAATTTAGTTTGTTCTGAATCACAACAATTTCTGTATAGAACCAAGGATTTGTTTTTGTTTGACAGTTGTTAAACACAACGATCAGCAATATTCCAGCTGTATGACCTGGTCAATATTAAGCCAGAAAATAATTTATTCTGGACCAGACAAACCAGTGACTGATGTCAGGAGCAACGTCCCCACATGGTAGGATAACACGCAATCAACCAAGTCTCCTGAGTTTGACCAACTAATCCATTTATACCATAAGTTTGTTTGCTGGGGACCAGGTTCGGAGTCCTACCTGTGAGCCAGCTCCAGGTCACGGACAGCACTGAGTACAGTCTTGAGGTTGCTCTTCTCATCCTTGAGGATCTGTGTTGCCAGCCTCTGTTGCACCAGGGAGATGTTGAACAGTAAGACTGTGTCGTGGGGAGCCACATGGCGAGCCTGAACAAACAAATACAAGGTAGTGTTAATTGCTGTTTAGCAGTGTAACTACAAATAAACATCTAATGCTCAATGTGAAACAAGACATGACATGACCATGGTCCATTATTTCTTTTTCTGCTTTAAAGATCTGAAGATGTAAAGGCAGATACTATGACAAGGCGGTCTCTGTTACAACATCTTACCTTCAAGAGCACCTGTTTACATTCTGCCAGTTTCCCACACTTGAAGTAGGCTCGGGCAAGGTACACCATCACTTCTACATTGTGGTGTTTGAAGAACTTTTTCAGTGCATTCTCGTACTGAAAGAAACAGTTGCACTTCAACACACAGGTATATAACAAGTATTTCATCAGGGATTCATCTTTATCCATTATTTTGAAACATTTGGGATAAACCAAATTATTTCCACTTAATACAAGTTATGGTAAAACTAAATGAGCTGAAGCTATCAATATGAGGTATGTGGAAGTGAACCAGCCTATCTTTTTAACCATCCATAAATGCTGTATTGTATATCATTCAAATTGTGGCCCTTAGTATAGAGAGAGTTTGCATCATCCCTGAAGTTCCGTCTCACTAGCCCCCTGTTGTTACAAGACATAACTGAGTACCAGTATCCCCCTGTCAGGCTGTGCTGTTCCATAGGATCACCCCCTCTGCTTGTCTGACCCCCTCTGCTTGTCTGACCCTATCTGCTCTTAATGAACTCTGTGGGATGGGGTTAACAGGGGTGAAGTCACAGTTTGTTTCTTTCTTTCTTTCTTGCTTAACGCAGCACTTGGGATATGCTGACATATAGAGACACTTGCATCTTTATACAATTTCATGCTTTACAGTTTAGTCTGTCCTCACCATCTGCACTGCGGCCACATACTGCTTCTGCTCCACATAGATGTGAGCGATGTTAAGCCACACGTCACAGAAGTCGGCCGTGGCCTCGCGGACCTGAGCGAACACATCCCGAGACTCGTTGATACAGCCCTTGTGTGCCAGCACACAGCCTGAAACACAAACAATATCATAAGCACAATCAAGTTAATTAAAAAAAATGAGTGAATATGGTTTTACGTTGTGCTCAGAAATATTCCAGCCTTGTCATGGGAACCTGTAAACAATCAATCCGGGCCAGTGGTTGGTATTATAATCAATGTGCCTTGCTGTTGGGTTGGTTGGTTTGTTGCCATACACAGAAATATTCCAGCTATAATAGTATATGACAGCGGTCTGTAATTAATCGAGCCTGGACTAGACAATCCAGTGATTAATATCATGAGTATCGATCCACGCAATTGGGACCGATGACATGTATAAACCAAGTCAGCGAGCCTGACCACCCGATCCCGTTAGTCGCCTTTTACGACAAGCATGGGTTGCTGAACCTTGCTGTTGGGATACGATGACACACAATCTAACAGGTCACTGAGACTGACCATTTAGTTGCCTCTGACATGCAAGAGCATGCTGGGGACCTGCTCAAATCTGCTCAACAAGACATAAAGATATGGTGTAATGTCCCTGTTCATGAGGCAATCTTATTATTACCAGTCAAGTAAAGCAAAGCTTGATTCATCAAAATCATCAGTTTAATCGACTTGTAGTTGGCTGATTTCTAAGATGTCTAAAATAGATGATTTAGGGGGATTTCTAAAGATCAAACTTATTTTAATAGTACACAATGTAGAGCTCTTCATATAGCCTTGCAAAATTAGTCATTATAGGCCGAAGATCAAATCAAGTTAACTTTCCTTTGATCTAGGAAGCTGAGTAAAAGGAGCCAATATGTATTTAGTGTATGTAATGAAAATGATGACAAAACACAAATTGGGACAAGTAGACAAAAAGAAAGTAGACTGCACGGTGTACACACAATCATGGAAATATGGTGAAGGTTCTGTAACTGGTTAGGATTTTTCATACCCTCATTCTTGAAGACAAAATTATTTTTTAATTGATCATCAGCTATTTGCCTCCAAGTACTGATCAATCATGATCAATGTTAATGATTCCCAACACAACTGATTCTTGTCAAAAGAGCATTCAAATATGGTTGGTTTGTTGTTTTACGCCGCACTCAGCAATATTCCAGCTTTATGACGGCGGTCTGTAAATAATCGAGTCTGGACCAGACAATCAAGTGTTTGATATCATGAGCATCGATCCACGCAATTGGGATCAATGATATGCTTCAACCAAGTCAGCGAGCCTGACCACCCGATCCCACTAGTCACCTTTTACAACATGGCTTCCTGGACACACCAAATGTACTATTAACAATGCTTTGCCAAGAACTCAGTACTACTCAGCAATTGTAACCAATTGGGGTTCACCCTCTTTGTATAAATACCAACTGTGAAAATAAACTTTTTAATTTTATACATCATTTATGTATTATTTGGTAAATAACTTTTTATGTTTAGCCTTAAAACAATAATTCGACTAAAAGCAAAATACTTTCTTCTTATCCCAAATAATACAAGACAACAGTCATCTTATTCCACAGATACATTTCAATGAACCAACTGCCACGAATCTTAAACAAACTATCCTTGATGAAATTATTCACTGTATCCCTATACACTTAATCCTTTAAACCAACATCTTTCCTGAGAGCCTGATTGTGCCGAAGCCATTCTGACCAGTGTTTTCACAGAGCCCTCTCAATCATCACCAACCTCAGAGCCAAATGATTAATCCTTTACAACAACATCATCTGTACAAGTCAAACAGTACTGGCTTCTGTGGTCATCAGGATAACAATTAACATCAAACTAATCAAAGAAGGATTAACATTTTTAATGAACACATCACTTATAAGATCAAAGAGTATATATAGAGTAAAGAAAAAAAAACAAATCCTGGTCATGGGTATAAAAACCAGCACAAACCAATGTCTCATCAGTTCTTGCAACTACAAGCTCAAGTCAGTTCTCAAGTGTTTCAGTAGTAGCATATTCAGTCAATACAAGATGGCCTTTGTACCAAGCGATGGTCTGTCGCCTGCTGCCCTCTCTGTGTACGATCTCCTGGAGCTTCCCACATTTTCAGAAGGTGAGTCTCAGTCAATGTGTCAGTTAACAGCTAAATGAAGCAACTCAGTCCATTCTCCAACCAGTCCAACCACTTAATTTCAACCAGCTTCATATATAGACATACACCAGCCTTTGAAATTAAGGGGCGTCTTTGAGAATTCCAAGCACCTTACAGTTTTAATGGAAGGACCAGTTGAAGTCCATGTTCTCTTGAACACTTTACATAAACCAACATACATAGAAAAAACATAAATAAATGATTCATCATGTTCATCATATATGTTTTTTTTGTATTGTAGTTCCTATCTTCGGACAGCAATCTCCACCACCAACCTACCCCAGTCAGGACCTGATGACAGACAACAGAACCAACCAGTCCCTGCTGTTCCTGAATGATCCGGTCTCACCACCTTACCAGCAGCATTACATCCCTGCTGCCCAGATCACTCCGCCATCAGTCACCTTCCCACCTAGTCCAGACCTTCAGGTCCCACCCTGCTCCGCCCAGATGCCCCATCAACCCTTCTTCTCGGACCTCCGTCGGATGATAGCTTCTGAATGCAGTTCTACATCCCTCATCCCCAGCAGCCTCTTCCAGACCATGATACCGAGTTGGCAACAAGATGTGTCATCACGAGAAATGTCAATTCTTGCAAGGTATGTTACATCATTGGCTATTTTTGTAGTGTTCTATTGTCTTCAGTTCTATTTTAGTCAGCTCATGGGATGCTGCCCAAGAAACCCCACTGTTGTGAATAACCCTTGAATATTCTTGAATATATGTATCTCACGGTTTCATTATTTGCAGGTTTCGCCGTCTGGAATCAAGTGCTGAACATCAGGTCAAGGAGTTATCCAGGCTGTTCCATCATCACTCTGCAAGCATCGAGATAGAGCGAGTCCAGATGCTGTCTTCAGGTGCTACTCAAGATTACAGGGACTGGCTCAACAACCAGTTTGACCAACAAAGACACCAGGTATGAAGATTAAAAAGATATTCCATCCTCTCCCGGCATAGAGAAGCCTATTCCATTCTCTGTAAACTGCAAAGTCCTAAAATAATTTAGATGACACAAGTGATGCATTTCTAACCTATTCTTCATAATTTGCTTCCAGGTCATGGACAGAGTAGAGAAGAGCCTGCGGCTTCTTGAGGACAAGACTCAGCTAGAGAAGAGAGACCAAGATTTCACATCAGGTGTTCGCCGACGCGCTCCCCTCTCTCGGCGTGCCATCAAACTGATGGAGGCGTGGTACCAAACCCATCAAGATCATCCTTACCCATCTGCAACAGTCACTGAGGCCCTGGCCCGTTCTGGAGATGTCACCACTGAGCAAGTCAGGAAGTGGTTTGCCAACAAGCGTATCCGCAATTGCAACACTCGATCCCTCACTGAGATTGCCAAGAGGAAGCACCAGGCCAAGTTCTCAATCAAGTCCTCAAGCATAGCTTGTTCTCTACAGTATGGACAACTATACAATACATCTGAGACTGCTGAAATCTGATACAAGTGCTATTTAGATGACCACACCAACAGTGCTAAAAGTTGTGAGAACCCACTGACCTTGATGACACTTACTTCTTTCATGACACGTGAGATTGCCCATGTCGGTATTCAACTGTGATACATTTGCAAGTGCTATACAAATAGATTCACCACAGGTGCTATTGGTCGTGAGAATCAACTGGTCATGCTGACAGTTTGATGACATTGATGTATGCTATTGTCAACCTGCAACTGTGTTAAATCAAGTGCTATGTTAAACACTCTTTGTGAATGGGATATTTGCTTTGGCCAATCTGTACATGAACCACCATGTTAATGCTGATACAGTTGGCAAAGCAGGACATGAACATTGACACACTTCTTACACAATTAGTGCTATTGTTGAGATGTATGACTTGTTATGTTGGCTGAAAATAAACCATTGAACCTTCCAAAATATCTTCTTATCTCTGAGACACACAGCTGTTTAACAACACTGCACTGATGAATTCCAAGCATACATTGCGCCACATCAATTTTGTTGCTTACTTGTCAAAAATGGTAATAGAAAGAAAAGGTTAATAGTTTTTCCTGAAACATGATAAGATGAGTTAAGCCATGCTCTGAAAATCAAATACCATCGACAATCACTACTTCATGAATAGCCACATTTTTACTGCACATGTGCCAGTGGGTGTAAAGAAGAGACAACAGTATCATTGCTTCTTGTAGCCTCATACTGCATAAATTCTATAAACACAATATATGTTATGTTTCAACAAATTCACATTCTGTTTGACTTCTTTCTTTCTTACTGTTAAATTTATACAATATATGGATTCCCCCCCCCCCGACATACAAGAGGACAGTCACATGGCTAAAACCTCCATTCATAAGCATATGACCAAAATGTATTGCCATTCATGTGTTCTTCACAAGTCTATACTCCAGAAATGATGGAACATTGACTACTTTCACATTCCATGGAAACCGCTGGGAATTCCTATTATACAAAACTGTTGTTTGTGATCATAAAGACACATTAATCTTGTTATTATGGTCAATGCATACCCATTTTATCCTCCCTACAACCCTTCAACCACATCCAGGTCACAAAATGTGTCTTCTCTTTTCAAAATTAAACATGCAGATTAACTAGCTTTTAGCACCAATATGTTGCTGTCTACAAGTGCTTCAAGTAATACAGGAATAATTTATCCTCCAGTCTCACTAAAGTCAGATATTTCATTCCATTACATTATCTATCTGCACGAAGATCTGGGGACAACCCCATCAAAGATCAGTCAGATGAACCCTCTAAAAAGTCAATCAGTATCAGCGCTTTTAAATTCTGTTATCCTGTTGGCAAATATTCAATAACAGCCTATCCTGTTTATGAAAATATTTTCAAAGAATGGCCGATCCTGTTTATGAAAGTATACTCAATATATGGCCTATCATGTTTAAGAGCAAATATTTAATAAA